ATCTTTACAGATTGGACCACTAGGAAGAGGTCTTAGTGGTTTAGTAGCCTGTCAAATCAAAATGAGCCAATATTGTGATAAAATCTTAGGGTACCTTGCTAAAATAAGACAGGTCTTACACTTGTCTACTTTGGCAGATCAGGGATATTGTGTTGCTTTCTGGGTAATGGATTTTTGAGAGGGATCTTAACACATTAGAGAATAGTCTGAAATAGTGGTACTCAGATCTTGAACCAGAGGACCGGGGTTTGAATCTTGGCTTTGTTTCTTACTGCCTTACACAGAGGGACTTGATAAGACTCTTTCAGTGTAAATCCTATGATCTTATGATCCTATGACCATGCCGTCAGAACGATTGATGATTGATGAGCCCCTAGAGGTTATTTGGAGTTGTCTTCAGGTATTTGAAGGGCTGTCTTTCCGTGTCTAGAATATACTCTCTCTCTTCCTTACCATAAGTCATAAGATCATAGATTTTGAACTGAAAGGAACCTTTAAAAAGGATCAACTAGTTCAACCCTGTCATTTTTACAAAGAATTGAAGTTCAGTGACTTTGCCTCAAGTTCATACAGGTGGTAATAAAAATAGTTCATGTTTATGTAACATTTTAAGGTTTTCAAAAGCATTGTTTCATTTGATAAAGGTGGTAGATGATGGATCTGGGATTCACACCCAGGGCTTCAGCTCTAAACTCACTCTTAAAGCCTATAAAGCTTTCTCTTCTCTTCTAGCCTCTCTACCCTTAGCTGAAAGCTTCAGCTTTTCTTGTTTTTGTTTTTGGTTTTTTTGCTTTTAGGCAATTGGGGTTAAGTGACTTGCCCAGGGTTGCACAGCTAGTAAGTGTCAAGTGTTTGGTCTGAGGCCAGATTTGAACTCAGGTCCTCCTGACTTCAGGGTTGATGCTCTATCCACTGTGCCACCTAGCTGCCCCCTAAAGCTTCACCTTTTCCTAGAGCAGTAGTATAAGGTCCACATACTGCCTTAGAAAACTACAAATTAACATTATCTATGTCATATGATGTTTTTGTTTAACATTTCCCTGTTACATTTTAATTTGTTTCCAGCCTACTAGAGTTTTACTTTCCTGTATCCTAGAGTGCTTAGGATTTCTTCTTTGACCCCTTTAGGTTTGACCCTTTTTGACCCTTTAGCTCCTTTAGGTTACAGTTGTCTGTGACATGTGTACACTCTACTTCCACCCCCAATCCCTATGTAAGCTCTTTGAAGGAAAGATTGTTATTCTTTGTTCCCAGCCCTTAATACAGTGTCCTACATAGTAATAGTTACTTAAGAAATTTGAGGTGATTTTCATGCAGAAAAGGAAAGGGCTAGGTGAGGGCCATTTAACAAGTAGTCAAAGTGGAAATAATCCATTTGATTTTTCAGGTCATTATAAAAGTTCCTTAACATCTCAGTTTTCCACTGTGAAATAGGCTTCTTGTATAATGAAGTCTCCTGTCATTGAAGCTATTCAGGCTGACCAATCTATTGGGACTTCTGTAAAAGACATCCTTTTATTGTGGGTGAGAGGGTCTATTAAATCAAGTGTTCTTAAACATTTTCGTGTTATGGACACCTTTGGCAAGTCTGGTGAGGCTTGCAGATTCCTTCTTAACAAACATTAAGCAGCTATGATCTACAGTAAGCTGAGGATACAAAAGAAATGCAGGAGCATACAGTTTAGTATGATGGAGTCTGTTCTCAACTTTTGCATGCATAACATTAAAAAATTGCTTGAAACTTAGAAACATGAATACATTGAACCTATGGGAATAGGGGGTTAGGTTTCCACAACCACCAAAAACTACTCTTGCTAAAAATTGCTGAAAATACTTTTATACATATAGTTCTTTATAACAAAACATTAATTCTGATACTATGCACTTTTCCCTAATACAGTAACCATGAAATCACCCATAAAATGCAGTACCTAAAATAAAATTGGTAACATGCAAAACATTTTTTCTTGCTAGTAATTCTCTAGAATTCTGTGACCTTTTGTGCTAACATCTCAATAAAAAAATTCATTTCAAGATAGTACTTACTTTTCATAACCCATGAAATCTACATTACTATAGATACTTCTTGCAGATATAATAAATTATTGCCTTAACATCAAACTCATGGGCTTACTCATGGTAACATTCCAGTTTATCTAACACATATTTTTTTTAAAAAAAATTTTTAAAGGCAGTTGGGTTTAAGTGACTGCCCAGGATCACACAGCTACTGTCAGGTGTTTTGTGTGAGGTCAGATTCGAACTCAGGTCCTCCTGACTTCAGGGCCAGTGCTCTGTCCACTGCGCCACCTAGCTGCCCTGTTAACACATTTATTTTCTCACTAAGTCACATCACTGGCTCGTTGGGCTCAAAGGACTTGCACTATGCTTTGGGAGCATAATTGCAACACAGAACTTGAATTTTGAAGGCAAATGATAAAAATATGCAGTGAATGCACAGTAGGGTGAACAAGACCAGTGAAAGTGCCTCGTAGGATACCAGCCTCTCCACAAACTTGTGCCTCTTATTTTTTTTTCTCTGCTGTGCATAGCTGTGAATGTGTGCAGTTGCTAAAGCAAAAGTGAAAATAGGAATACTAATAAAATCACAGGGATGCTTGAAATCTTGAAAGTTAAAACCTCAAATGTTGAGGATTGACTGTGGACAGAATCAACTGGAGATAATCAACAGGGAAGGTGCTAGCATTAGGGGAGATTAGGAAAGGATTTTTGTAGAAGGTTGAGATTTTAGTCTGGGATTTGAAAGGAAGCCTGCAGGCAGAGATGAAGAGGGAGAGGATTCCAGGCATATGGGACCTCCCGGAGTATCTTGTGCAAGGAATAGCAAGCCAGTGTCACCATCAAAGTGTAAAATGGGAGTGAATAAGGTGTAAAAAGATTGGAAAGGTGGGACAGGGCCAGGTTATGAAAGACTTTCAATCCCAGACAGGATTTTTTATATTTGATCATGGAAGTGATAGAGAAATCAATGGAGTTTTTTGAAATGGAGGTGGGGAGAGTGTTGATGTGGTCAGACAAGGACTTTTGTGAAGATTATCTGAGAGCTGAGTGGATGGATGATGTTCTGGAGTGAGGAGAGACTTGAGGCACAATGCTTTAAAATAGCACAGGATATTATAAAGGAAATACATGATAATAAAGGAAATAGCTATAAAAATTTTTTAACAACTAGTTCCCAGACCCCATGTTTATGAACTCAGACTAAATAAATTGGTTTTCTTCCAGTTTCTTTGAAACTTCCTATATTCCTTTCTGCAATTATGTTAAGGTAAGAATCAGGGCCATTAGGTGTGTTAAGCAAGCCACCCTTGTATTAAACATTTTAAGTCCAGTGTTTTCAATAATTACATAACAGTATACAAACTCATTTGTGGGATTTTATACTGTTGACTAAAGAAACCGATAAGATAGGTAGTTTATTTCTTTGTTATACTCAATCTTGAAAATTAGGCAGCTCAAAGAGTAAGGAAAATAAAAATGTGTATAGCCTTCACTGTATCAGATACAGTGGATAGACGTTAGTAACTGAAAAGGCTAAATGGTTTAAGCAAATAGGCATATTGCTCTTACTTTCTTTTCCTTTGTTTCTTTTGTCCCCCTTTCTTAATTGCTGGGGTCTGCTTCATACCCCTTTATAAATAAAATCTATCTTCTTTGGAATTGAAGGGCTTACTTATATTCTGCTTAAGTTAAAGCCTGAAGATGACCTGGGAAGTAGTACCCTAATATCTTTGGAATTGAAGGAGTAGTTGATTGTATTCTGGCCAGACCTGAAGATGACCACAGGTGTTAGGGGGGTACATGTTTCTACTTAAGTATTTGTAAAATAGCAATTTGAGTTACTGATCAGGGTATCATTTTTCAAAATAATTTCTTCTTATCTTCACAAAATGAAGAACCAATATTATGTAGGCTTATATTTAACTAATGGTATCTATTCAACAGCTACTTCCCTCTTCCTTTCCTTCTTTAGTCCCCTCTCTAAACCAAAGCCACCTAAAGTCTTAACGACATTTGGCTACCAGAGGCAGCTGGTGGCACAGTGGATAAAGCTTTGGGCCTGGAGTCAATAGGACCAGAATTCAAATTTGGCCTCAGACATTTCCTAGTTGTGTGCCCTGAACAAGTTACTTAACCTCTGTTTGCCTTAGTTTCCTCATCTATAAAATAGGGGTAATAATAGCACCTGCTTTGTAGGGTTGTTAGAGGATCAAATGCGATAATATTTGTAAAGAAGTACTTCTGCCTAGTGCCTAGTCCATAATAGGTGATATGTAATGCTTATTACTACTTTCTTGTTCTCCACCTCTCAACTCAGAGAACATTCCCTTTTCCTGTTAACAGTCCCTTCCAGAAGAATCCCAGAATTTGTTGTAAAGTTATAAATGACAATTTTTCATAGGTAAGCTCCTCTAATTTAAAAGAATTATTGGGGTTTTTTCTTTTGTGTATATCCATTCATTGGGCAATCTTGCCTATTAAAAATATAATTTTGAGGTTTTTTTTTTCAACATTTCACTACTTACCTACCCCATTTGTTCTAAATTCTGCCTGGTTTTCAAAGCCAATCTACCTTTTCAACCATACATAGTAATGCACCCTCCAGTCTTGTCAGAGCCTGTATGCCTCCACTGATGTGGTTCAAAATACATTGCTTCTAAAAATCTCATTCATAATTTAATGCCTAGATATGACCTTGTATAGTCCATAAACACTTCTGAATGTTCTACCTCTTATGTTTTTTTCTCTCCCATCAACACCAATTGAAGTCATAATCTGTGAATTTTGTAGTCTTTTAGGCATTGATTGTTCAGTCTATATCAGTCTTGGTTTGTCAGCTGGGGTGTAAGGTCCTTCTACCACTTTGTTGCCTTCCAAAGTATTGAGTATATAGTAGACATACTATTAATATGCATATGAAACTAAAAAAGGAGAAAAGTATTTTGTAAATAACAGTGTATTTTGTATGTTCTTTTCAGATTTGGATGGTGCTCTACTTTCAGGGCCAGACTGTGATAGGAACATGAATTCAGGTTTGCTGGCTGAAGCTAACTCAAGTCAAGACGGAGGCGATGCTGGTAGGTACTAGGTGCAGTTGGAACTTTGAAGGTGACATTAAAAGGATTTGGAGAATAAGTATCATATAGATTAGAGAGGAGAGAGACAGATTAATTTTATTCTGATATGACTGACTTGTGACTTATGGTGATTTTACTTTTGTATCCTAGTAATCCTAAAACTATAACTCATCAGGAATTATAATTGCAGGGAACCATTTAATATTTTGCTGTATGGAGTCACTGATTATATCAGTTTAATTTCTCTGTATTGAACAAATAAGCAAAACTAAAACCATTTATTTGAATATTATATAATTAAAAGCATTTTGAATTTTGTGCTGTTTTAGATGCAGGTAGGTATTTTGTTTACAAAGGCAGTGTGATTTATCGATAGTGTTGTCCAGAAGTCGGGGTGACTCAACCATTCAAATCCTGCTCTTGATACATTCTGCTTGTGTGAACCAGGCATGTCAGTTAATCCCTCAGTACCCTAAGTAACTCTCATAAGATTATGTTTGCAGGAACATTTCTGATCTGCATTGGTAGAAGGAATTTCCTTATCAGGTGTACCCTAAATCAATAAATTTGGAGGTCCAGAACAATTTTGACTAATTATGCAGATTTATGGGAAAGAAGGTGTATACAGAGGCAGTAATGTAGGAAAATGAAATGTTTTATGGAAATTCTTTTAAGAGATGAACCAGTGGAAGTTAGACAAGGATGAGTTTTAAATATACTAAGGGAAAAAATTTGTTTGTGTGTGTGTGTTTCAATACTTCTACTTTCTTTAGTTTGTGTCCCTCTTCTGAGTAGAAGTTCATTCTTCAAGCAACCTAGTAATGAACTCTGTTGAATTTAATTAGGTGGGGTTTTCCAGTAGTAGAAGGCATATATGTTTACAGCTTGGAAAGGACTTGCTAGAGCTTGCCATACTCATCCCTTCAAGAACTAAAGATCAACTCCATGCCATGATAAAGCACTGTAGTTCTTTAATAGAGGAGGATATATGCATAAATATACATGTGATTAGTGTTTTAAAACTCTGTTATCTCATAACGGAATGAGAATATATATTCTTTTTATATTGGGTTGTTGGAATGTGGATGCTTAATTTATTATACTTTAAAAGTACTGTAACTTACATGAATATGTTAAGATGATTAGAAAATGCTCCCTAAAATAGACTTACAGCAACACTGTGCCACTTAAGGGAGAACTGAGACAAGAATCTCATCAATAAGCATTTATTATTTGAATGTTAAGTACTTAGTCTGTACCAGGCGCTTTCCTGAGTACTGGGGATACAAAGCAAGACAAAAACATGGTCTCTCACATTTTAATGTGATGAAATGGTCCAGGGACTCATTTTATCTACAATTTGCTCAGAACTTTTCCAAGTTGCTTCTTTTTACAACCTGTTGTGATATAACTTTATACTCCCAGTTCTTCTAGGGTTGTTGTGGCTGAAAATTCATTACTTGGTGGTGAAAGCATGTTGACGAGGCCCTCTGAACTTAACTGGGGTAGACACCAGCAGTTGACATATAGTCCATTACAAGGTCCAATGTGGAGGCCTTTCCATTTTGGTAGGGCCTGTCATGCCTTGTGATCCATTAACCTGGCCTTTGAGAATTTAGAATGAGAGTTATCTCCTTTAGAGTAGTTCCTGTTTTGGAGATTTTACTTTTTTCTTTGCTTAAAAGTTTTTGAGCTCATCTTTAAGTGTTACAAAGCATTTTACACATGCCATCTCAATTTAACCCTCAGCGCTTTGAAAGAGTAGTAGCTGAAGTGTAGTAGTATGCCCATTTTATTTTTATTATTTCCAAAACTAAGAAGGGCATTTAAGGTAGAACAGCAGGGATGTGGTAGTGTAGCTCTTATGCATAAAATTGATGCTCTCTGCCTACCTTCAGAGGAGTGATGATCAAATTCCTCTTTAATCTCTTTGCTTCTTTTCAACATGATGGATTGTTCCATTTTGCAGATGAGGAAATATAGACTGAAAAGTTATGACTGGATTACCTCAGAGTTACCCAGCTAGCCATTCATTAGAGATAGGTAAATGGGAGAATCCCAAATCTTTCTACTAGGTTAGGCCAATAATAATATATGTGTCACAGGGCTTCTAACTGTTCCAGGGTGCTTGGACTCGTTCTAATATCAGTGGAAGTTGTTTTTCAGTTGTGTTGGGGGAGGCAGCGGTGGTGATTTCCTTCTTTACAAGATTGCCTTTAAATTGGTGCATGGGTAAAAACTGGATTAAAGCTATTATTGGTTAACGTGCTTTTGAGCTATATGGCACGTGCTGACATCCGTCTTTCAGGAGGGAAAATTGTTAGTTGTTTATACTTGATTAAAATATTAATTCATCTTTTCTTTATTATTTTAATATGTGGAATCCCATTGAACTCTTACCTAATTAAGCACTCGAACTTACAATCTCTTGATGAAGCAATACTGGCACTTAGAAGTTACACCTTTCTTTTCTGAATATCTGTGAACTCTCTCTCAGCACCATGATCATTGGTTTGTATGTTGGCTCCTTTTCTTTTCATTTCCTTTCTCTTTCCTTTTTTAAAGAAAATTGGACCCCATTATATTGTTCTCCCAGTATATTGTGTCTTGTTCTAGTCTGAACATTCTTTGAGAAAAAGATCACTGATGGGGGTCTCAGTCATAGCACCAGTTTGTTGGGGTTTTTTTCCCAGTATGGTAGAATGGATTTTGGGCCTGGACAATTAAACTCATTGAAGGAATGTAGGTGAGACCTCAGTGAGCTTAGAAACTTGAAACATTTTTTGTAATATCCTTCCCAGTCCAAAGATCAATCTTCTTTAAATGAAAAAAGAACATAAGATTTCCATTTCCTTCTTAATTGGGATAATTTTTTGTGGTGGTAGAATTTCATTCTTTAGAGCTTGATGTCTCTCTTGGGACAGACTTCCTTCATAAAATATGTCATTAGGTTCTAGCAGTACTTTCTCTAAATCCTTTGAAATGGACTCTCTGAAATGCTAAGAGTACCTAAGCAAATCTCAAATTTATTGGCTGGTTTTTTTGTTTGTTTGTTTGGTTTGGTTTAATTTTTGGTGGGGAGGGAGGTCCAGTAGATTTTTTGAAGTTTCTCCAAGAACTTTTTTTCCTGTTGTAATTTTGGAATTCTCTTTTTCTCTTTTGCAAACCACACTGTTGCTTCCAGATCCTGATAATTTTGCTTATACCTAATTCCTTCAACTTATTCTTTTCCTTTAAAATATATTAATGCATGCTGTATTTTGATGAAGGATTTCTGTGTTGATAAATCTAGTAGCTTTATAGTTTTCCTTACTATATCTATATTCCTAGTATCAGTCCAACTTGGGCCTAGTGAATAAACTGGTTGATATTCCTTTCTCCTCGTTGCTAACATTTTATTACATATTTTAAAATCAAATTTTATTAGTATTGATATGTAGTTTTCTTTTTTTGCCTTATTTTCCTGTAACTTAAGTGTCATATCAAGAACATGCTTGTCTGAATAGGAACTCGACAGTGTGTTGTCTAACTCAATTTTTTTTGCAATTTCTGTAATATAGGAGTTATTTTTCTTTGTCTCATTTCTGTTAATTTATTTTATTTTAATCTCAATTATTTTAATTAATTTTTATTATCTTAATTCTTATTTCTTTTTAATCCTTTAAAAATTTGTGTGAATGTGTGCTATATTTTGATGAAGGCATTCTGTAGGAATTTGGCAGTGTGCCTACTATCTGTTTTTGTACACAGTTTATGTAATTTAGGAGTTATTTTGTCTTTGTCTTATTTCACTTTTAAGTTCATTTGGACCTAGAGTTTTTTCTTTGGCAATTCATTTATGGCCTGTTCATTTTCTGTTCTGAGATTGAATTGTTTAAATTCTTTTTGTTCTTGTTCTTTTAATCTTCCAAGTATTTTGTATTTTATATTTTCATAAAGGTTCATCCATTTTATTTGTCTTCATTTTTTTCAGGTGATCTTTGATATTCATTCCCACAACAATATCGCTTCTGTTTCTCCGCTCTGTCCTCACCTAAATATCTCCTCTCTAGTCTGAGAATTTCCTCTTGTGAGTTTAACTACTTCATGACCTCTTTTTCCTATTCATATTTCGTTTAATTAGAAATACTCTTCTAGAACTACTTGCATATCCTTGCCACCAAATCCTTGTGATACTTATGATTTCAAATTTGTTTCCTTGTGTTCAAGTCCCTAGTTTATTATGTTACCCCCGCTCCATAGATTTGTTTGTCCAAAACTGAAAATATGGGTTTAATTGCTTCATTTATTTTTGAGTTTTCTCTGCTGGGAATTATTGGTCCCCCTCTCTTGTTTTCATGTTCTCCTTCTACCATGACTTAGGTTGGGAATAGCGTAAACCGAGCAAGTCCCATATAGACTTAGTCCAGCAGCAATTTGAAACATCCTTGTAGCCTGAAACCTAGCTAAATCTCCTAGGACAGGACTTCATAGCCAATAAGATGTTATTTGTCCTCAATCAGCCCTTGTGACATTCATGTTCAACATGTTAATTAGATCTGAATTTCAGTTTCAAGGATTCATCTTGCTTGTACCTGTGTTTATTTTTAAGGTAAAATGCTTTTAAAATAATGATGCTATGATGAAACATTCTAACCATCTATTGACTTAAGATGTGTACAGACTAAGATATTTCTTGGACATGGCCAAAGTGGGAATTTGTTTTGCTTTACTATGCATACTTGTTACAAAGGTTTTGTTTTTCTTTTTCATTTGGGAGGTGGGAGGGAGAGAAGGTTGGATTTTCATTAATTGGTTTTTTTTTTAAATGAGGCTAGACTGTTCTAAAGATAAACTATAACTACCGTAGTTAATTTTTGAATGGAGCCCCAGCTGATTGATGCCCAGGCCCCTCCTGCCTAAATTGCTTTTTTTTTGTCTGTCTTTTTATCCTCAACTTTTGCCTCCTGAATGTGTTTCTTTCTATTAACTCTTGTGCTACTGTATTAAGCTCCATAAAT